TTTAGCAAGGCATTGGTTTGTGCCCCTTCCTCTTCTGAAAGCATATAAGTTATCAGGTAAAATAGAGTTCGATTCTAACCACCAGTCTAGCCTATTTTTGATTATATATTCAAATATTTTACATATAGCGGAAGATAATGCGATAGGTTTGAAGGATGAAATTGAATTTGCCTTAGGTATTGGGATTACTTTGAAAACAGTCCAGGATTCAGGGATCCTGTTCGATATAATTATATTATTTAGGATAGAGAGGAGAAGGTCGAGTGTATTGGTTGGTAAGTTACGTAACATTATTGCAGATATGTGATCCATGCCAGAAGCAAGAGACTTACGAGAAGCTATTGCTGAATTTAATTCGTTTAAAGATATGTGTTTATTGAGACAGTGCTCAGAAGTGGGGGCGGCGGAATATACATGAGGGGCATAGATAGATTCTGATTCAGAAGGTACGTAGCAAGGAGCAACTTTGGAACAAAAGTCATCAAACCAATCATCATTATGGGGTCTTATAACTGGGTGTACACACCTGCGAAAACGTTTGGCTGTGGCCCAGAGAGATTGTAAAGAAGATGAGGGATTGAGTGTGGAGCAAAGTTGTTTCTAGGAGTCTTTTTTTTTTGTTTTTTAGTAGATGGGTGGTGGAGGCGCATTGATTGCGGTATTTAAGGAGATCTTGTATTGAGCCAGTATTACGATAGATTTTAAATAGTGCGTTACGTTTGTTAACGGATAGAGTACAAGAAGTATCCCACCATGGGGGCGAAGTTGGATAATTATTGGAATTCACCCGCTTGAGGGGAATGGCTTCTTTGGCAGAGTCAAGTATTAACTGAGTAAGTTGGTTGTATTTTTCAATATTACACGTTAATTTATCAATATGAGTGATTGAGGAATCGATAAGTTGTGCGAAGAGTTTCCAGTTAGCTTTATTGAAGTTGAATTGAGGAGGGGATGATTGTATACTTGCAGAATTAGTAAAAGTTGATCTATTGAAATAAAGTTGATAGGCGACGTCAAAATTGGTTGAAATTAGTATCGGGAAGTGGTCACTACCATGAGGGTCGTCCAGTGTGGACCACGATGTGTTCCAAATTAAGTTAGGAGAGGTGAAGGAAATGTCTATGGCGGAGTTGCTACAGTTAAATCTACCGAGATGAGTGTCGGAGCGATCGTTGAGAATGCAGAGTCCTAAGGAGTTAATTGTTTCATAAATTTCGTTTCCACGATGAGAGGAGAAGGTAGAGTCCCAAGCAGGATGATGTGCATTAAAATCGCCGGAAAAGATACAATTATTTTTGGTTAGTTGGAACAGTGAGTTCCATACACTTAATGGGATAGCTGAGTCATTGGGAATATAACAAGACCAAACTGACAAGGGGGAAACATTGACGCCGTTGTCGATCTCTACTCCGATCACGTCGATCTTGTAACGATCAAATGTTTGAATTAAATTGGCTTCAATATCGACTTTTCGGAATTTGAGGGATACGTGAGTTGCTATTGCAACACCACCGTAACCATAGGGACGATTCGATCTTACAAGATTGAATTGGGGTATGTTGAATTTACGGGTAGGGGGAAGCCAAGTTTCAGAAAGTAGTGCAATTGAGCATTTGGTTAAAGTAAGTAAGTGTAGAAGAGAAGGTAAGCGCGCAGGGAGACTACGAACGTTCCATTGCAGTATATTTATATTATTCATATTAGTAAAATAGAGCGTATGTATTAAGTTGAGGTTTAGTTTTGGGAATGAGAGGTGCTAGAAATATTAGGAATGACTAGGAGAGAATGTATAGATGACTCAATTAGGTTTTTTAGTGATGTGGCAGATTGTGTGGAAAGATCTAAAGAGTTTAGTAGTGATTCCGATAGTCGTTGTGATAGAGTATCAACCCATGAAAAGTCTTTGTTTTGAATATTTGTGGCTGTATCATGTCGATTATTAATAACATATTTTAAAAATTCTCCTTTAGGTACAGAGACACTTGCTTGCTTAGGAAGGTGAAAGTGATTTTTATGAGGGGAGGGGGAACGGGATTTATGTTTCCTGGTGGGACGTTGGGAATTTTTTGGAGGTGCAGGGGTTGGCGAGGTTGGTATGGTGTTAAAGGCATGAGGGATAAAAGATGTTTTATTTGAAGAAGAGGAAGAAGGCTGGTTACTTACAATGTTGGAGTAGCTAAAAGCTGATGTGACCTGATTTTGTTTCTTGAAGATTACTGCGTCTTGAAAAGATAGGTTTTCTGTGGCCATTATTTTTTTGAGGTCCCGCTGGGAATTCCATTCACGACAGTTACGATCGGTTGCAAGATGTGGAAGTTAGCAGTATAGGCAGCATGGATCGGTTGCTTGAGCAGTTGGGCACGATTCAATGGAGTGTTTGCTTACACCGCAGTGGCTACATGTTGGGCTACTACGGCAAAATTTCGATGTATGTCCAAAACGTAAGCAATTTTTACATTGGAGAGGAGAACGTACGCTAGGTGATACCTCAAAGAGCATGTTGTAAATGGATATGCATTTTGGGATTTTACAAGATAAAAATGTAAGTTCTACTATGCGTGTGGGGGTGATTTTTCCGTCCTTGTTGGTAGAAATACGTTTAAATGCAACAATTTCAAATTCACTATTCATGCCATCCCAGAAGTCCTCAACTGAGAAAGCCGTATCCAATTTAATGAAACCGTGAGAAAAGATTAGGGTTGAAGGTATGTATGCGGATAGATTATTTTCCTGAAGTAGAGGAGATTCGAGGCATGTGTTGGCATGGAGCGTTGAGTCAAATGTAATTTTGATTTTTTTGTGACCGTTAGGTTTGATGTTATTGATTCCGAAAAAATTGTTACAGAAAAATTTTGCGCATTTCAGTGGGTGCCAAAAGCTAGTACCGGAGCTTGAATCTGTGGATTCAATTATTATGACAGGTGGGCCGTTATAATCGTCTGAAAAGCATTTACTATGATGGTGAATATTAGGTTTAGTGTAAGTGAATGTCTGTGTAATTGGTAAATCTGTAATGTTTGACGTGCTGCTACTAGGTTTGGTGTAATGAATTTCGTAATTAGTGTTATCGGTAGAGCTCGTGTTGCCGTGCGAGTGGTTGTCGTCCGTAGACATCGGAACGTTTATATCTGTAGATAACGGTGATTGTGATGCGGTATTTTCATAATTAAAACTTTGATTATTTGTGTTCATACATAGAGTAGGGGGGTTATCCAAGATTTGTTGAAAACTTGGAGAGATAGGACTGGATGGTTTCGAGGTGTTAATAGAAGTTTTGGACTTACGGTTTTTTGGAATAATCCACTTGTTTCCATTCTGAGTCTGATCGGTTATTTTTGATTTTGGTGGTAGAAGGTTTTTGGCCTAGATTACGACCGTCGCCGCCTGACGACGACGGCATTTGCGATAAAAATTTATTAACACGATAAGATAGCGCACTGCACAAATGAATAAAACGACTGTTCACAGCGAACGCGTAATCGCGACTGGTAATAAATATTAAATGTATTATGTATAATGTATAACAATATTATGTACCTATTAGCCTGAATTTCTACAGTTCTTTAAATATACTAAGATTTATGTAGAACCCGAGTGTATTTGCTATTAGGCGTCTTATAACATTGAATCGATTGTCAATAGATCTGAGATCGTAATTTGTATTTTTAGGTTGATAATAATGAAAAAATAGCTGATTATCTCAAAAACAATGAAGCCGGATTGGATCCGAAATTCGAATCAACGGATTGATCCGAAATCCGGATTAAATAATTGTAATCCGTAATCCGGATTGGTCAAAATCATGCTCAGCACTAGTCCGGCCCCCGATAATTCAGTGAACCCGGTAATCCGGACGGCAAAATTCCATTTGTTCGTAAATAGATTTTACGAGAATTCACGGAACCCAATTAATCTATGCATAAGATATTATTAATGACAAATACAATTTCGTCATTTTTATTACTTACTGTTCCTAGTAAAGACTTATATGTACATATGTAGGTAATAAATCGATGCCCGATGGTCAGTTCGTTTACTTCTTTCTTGTCGAATGGTTATTATTCTTGTTTGTTACAATGGCTCCTCGTAAACACGTAACTTCGACTTTAGATCAAAAAAATTGAAATAATTGAGTTAATAGAAAATGGCCAGAATTATGGTATGATTGCTGAGAAGTACGGAATAGGTAAATCGACTGTTGGTGACATAAAAAAAAATAAAGAGAAAATTATGAAGTTTGTCAGCACAACTGAACGTGGTCCAGGCACACGTAAAACTTTAAAAGAGCCGGATAATCTTGTTCTCGAAAATGCTTTATTTATATGTTTTATGCAACAGCGGAGACGACATATTCCGATAAGTGGTGAAATAATTTGTGAAAAAGTACGTTTATTTCATCGTGAAATAACAAAGCAGGAAGATGATTTCACTACTAGTAGAAGTTGGCTAGACAATTTTAAACATCGTCATGGTATTAGGCGTCTTAAAATAATGGATGAGAAACTTTCATGTGACGAAGCATCAATCGAACCATTTCGAAATTAATTGCAGCGAGTCATAAATGAAAACAATTTGGACCTAGAACAAATTTATAAGGCTAATTAGATGAATCCGGTTTATTCTGGCAAATGTTACCAGAGCATACATTGGCATCAAGTCATGAGAAAAACGCCCCTGAAAGAAAAATTATTAAAGCTAGAATAACATTCATGCCTTGTGCTAATACAAGTGGAACACATAAACTACCTTTACTCGTCATTGGGACTGCACAAAAACCACGTGCGTTTAAATCAGTTAACCTTCCCGTATACTATCGTGGACAAAAAAAATGTTTGGGCCACTCGTGTTTTATTTTTAGATTGGTTTCAAAAACAATTTGTTCCTGTATTTCGTGAGCAACTTTTAAATGTAAATTTATCTCCAAAAGCTTTATTATTGTTGGATAATTACCCTGGACATCAGCAGAAGAATTACGTAGTGATAATGGCAACATTTTTGCAATGTTTTTACCTCCTAATACCACAGCGCTTATTCAACTGATAGATCAAAATGTAATTCAGAATATTAAATTAAACTATCGTAAGTCTCTCTTAGCCAATGTTCTTGCTGATTCGGTGCATGGCGAAAACCTTATTGATGCTCTAAAGGCCATAAATTTAAAGGACGCAGTTTTTAATTTTGCAAATTGTTGGAAATTGGTCCCGCCAATGCTCATAAAAAAATCATGGAAACACTTGCCTCCTTACCAAACAGAAAATAAAATCGACGAAGTTGTTGAAATTAATGACATTCAACTTTCTACACTTATAAACCAGATACAGAAAACATGTACGAATAAAATGTCTGATTCTCAAGCACAGGAATGGGCTTGCCGTGGCGCAGACGAAGATTTAGCGAATCATGAAATCTTAACTGATGATCAAATTCTACAAATTGCAGCAAAAGAGGATGATATTGACGACGAGGATGAAAGTGGCTCAATTAGTACAAGTAAAGTTTCTCCTTCAGAAGCTGTGAATGCACTGAATACTGTATTGCAATGGGCGGAAGATGAGAACATGGATAGCACTGATATTTTGTTGGTACGTCAATTAAGAGAACTCGCTTTTGAAATGAAAATTAAAAGTACTATTCAGA